TCCAGGAAGAGCACACACCAACTGCTGAAACTTCCTTAGCCTGATGAAGGGTTTTTGAACCCTAAAGCTTGCTTAATAATTGTTTTCCAACTATTTAAGTTGGTCTAATAAAAGATATCAGATTCACCCAAAGAACCTTGTCTGCCTAGTACTAACAGCAAAATCTTCCAAGTATTACTCTACTAATACATCTCAACTCTTATGATGAGATATGTAGGGATGAGACCATGAATCAGTCTTTAATCCCATTGGCCTCCAACACCAGTTTTCATGGTAGTTTCAGTAATCACACTGGAAGTCCTAGACTTTAACCTTCCATTCATTTCACTTAGGCTCCTTAAAAATTATAATGGATGCCAGTATGGACCTTAGTTGAACATTGTCTACAATGATCCTGAACTGAAAGCCACTTTTCATCTCGTCAAGCCAGTTCCCCTTCTATCAGAATTTCTGAACATGAAAATTTCTATTTCCTCATGTCATTCTCTCAACTTACCCAACATATCGGATAAATTAGACACTAAGAAAGAAAACCAAAAGGTAAGACATCCTTTCCAGCAGTCAAAATAGGCAGGATTTCCCATTATCTAACACTACCCTTTCTAAAAATGTTTAGAAAATTGTTCTTTTTGTTCACACATGCACACACAAACAACAACTTCATTGTCTATAATAGTTTGGAAAAATGCAAAGTCATATGGTGGAAATCTCTGTCTTATGCTGCAGTAGACAGACTGTCACACAATTTGCAGAAGTCAGAATTGGCAAGAATTTCACAAATCATAGAGCACATCCATCCAAAAACCTAGCAGTTTCCAACAAGCTCATGGAAGGAACAAAAATGATGCAACTATCCAATAAAACCATAGCTTAGCTTTTTTAAAAGATGAAAATTGAATTAAATTATATTAGCAGGAATCAAAAATAGTTCAGCTAGTGGTATATATTTTTACTGAATGGTCACCATTGTCTAAGACAATCAGAGAATTGTTTGCTGTGTATGTCAATGCTACAGGGTATGCAAGCCCTTGGGTAATTATGGGCTTAAAGACCGGAAACTCCTCAGGCTTCCCTAAGCACAATACAACCTGGTTATAGACATCTGCTACTATGATATGTCCCTCTCTGTCAAAGGTCACAGCAGTGACATATATTTTGGAAGGAAAAAATAGGTTGAGACCAAAGCTATCGATCTGGCCAATAAGCGTCATGTCAGCATTGAATATCTTCACCCTTGTACTGCTGTAGTTTGGTCCTCTAGCCAGAAGGTGCTCAATTACAGCAATAACCCCAGACAGCTGAGAAACTGCCACCTCTCTTGGATTGCATAGGTTTGACTGGGTCTTCTGAATCTTTTTTAGTTCCCCTTTCTTAAAATCAGCTGTCAAATGATAAAGGGCCCCTGCGTTTGCATCAGTCAGAATAATTTTATTTTCAGGGTTGGTATCCAAACCCCATGGTAAGTGGAAGGGCCCTTGGATAACTAGCTTGCCTCTTCCATCAAAGTCAAACACTTTCACAGACTGATCCCCGCTGTCTGTGACAACGACATGACCATCCAGTGTGACTGTTACATCAAGTGGGTATTTGATATCATTGCCTGCGTTGCCTCGTTCCCCAAACTGCTGTATACAGCTTCCGCTCAAACCAAAGAGCTTAATCCTTTTCTTGCCATCATGTGCCACTACTACACAGCCAGATCTCTGACATATAGAAATCCCAGTCGGATTGATCAGCGTTCCCCAGCCTCCAAAAGAAAGGCTGAACGTTAAGCCTGGAGATGTTGATCCAATTCCTTCGTCACTTGCCCCAGCTGTTGCTCCTGAAGCAGAAGGAATATTAGTTGCCGGTCTTAAGATCTCAGTTAGGTGCAACAATGGTAAACAGTCACTTGTCTCAGACGATTTGCACACTCTTCGACAGAAAGGGCATTCCAGCCTAAAGTTCCTTGGATGTGCTAGTGAACACACACAATCCAGGCATATAACATGCCCACAGGGTAAGTTCCTTGGACGATGTTTTTTTTGGTGGCTATATTTTTCAAAACAGACCTTGCATTCAAGCAGACTGATCTCAGTTTCATTTACCAGCTCCATCATGATCTGCATTTTCTCAGAAGCCTTGGCAGACATAGCTGCTGCTTTAAGAGGATTGTTGACTATGCTGTGTCAGCTGACGTTATCATCTGGTCACATTGTGTGGTCACAGGACCACTTACATCAGAGGTCTTTCCATGAATAACGATGCTATTTTGTTTCAAAGCATCTGGTTCCCTCTAAAGGAAGCTTTGGAAAATGCAGTTGGTTTATAAGATTATCACCAATATGCTTATGAATGAGACACTTCTAATTTCCTTTTTCTTCATATATTTATTTGGAATAAGAATAAATCTAGAGCAACATTTGAATGGTAAAAAACAGTCTCATGTAACTTAATCCATGGTAATTTATCTATGTCGGAGTCCATGTAAGTGATCAGGAATCAATTAAATTAATTTAACTACAGGGAGGAAAAAAAAGAACAGGAGCACCAAACATATTCAACAAGAAGCCATTTTTTTCTGTGTTTATTGTTCTAAATAAAGGATGCTAGTGCCAAAAACAAGGCAGTGGTTTTCCATCAAGAGATCTTCACCTTCATATATTTTTTCTTGGCAATTAAAAAAAAAAATTACCACGTGATTAAGCTTATTTAGCGGTTGGACAACAAATAGGTTTGGGGCTTTTAAGTTTCAGAAACCCAAGCAAGAACAGTGCATTAAATCAGTAGTGCTGAATCTTTCAGCCCCATGAGCCAGAAGAGTGGCGTAGGGCTGATCCCTGGGCCTGATCCAGCACGGGGTCAGTGCATGGTGAGGCTGGTACCTGGGGTCACTCTGCAACCAGATCTAGCACATGACGTTGGGCTAGAAATTTGGGAGAAGGGGAGCAGCGATTAATGCTGTCCCTGCTTCCCCACTGCCAAATTTCCTGACCTGTGGGGAGACCTATGGGTCAGATGACATGATGTTGCAGGCAGGATCTGGCCCACAGGCCAGAAATGAGCACTGTTTAAAATGGTTATAGGGGTGGGTTTCAAGCTCCTTGTTTGTACCACCTCATATTCTAATGCTGAAGAGTAGTTGGGGGGTGAAGTTTAACCACATGTGACCTTCTCTTCTGGCCTTCTGCAGTCTACACTTTTCCTATGCTGGGGAGGTGCTTCTCCATGTGATCAGTGTTAACAGGTCCTTGGGGCTCTACTGCAGGTGGACTAAAGCCATGAGAAAGCCCCTTTAGCATTCTTTTTATAAACCAGTCCACTGAATAGCACTATAACCAGAGCAGTCATAGATGTCTGATTAATTTCTTGTTGCTCTGAATTCAATCAGCAGTAAGTCAGCCACTGCAACCTGCTGAAGGAGTGTTTCTATCAGATGTAGGCAAAGTAACTATATAATCTTCCTTCAGTACTTTTGTATTCAGTCTTTAGGAAACCCTGTTTCAGAAGCACCAGAATTTGCATCTAAGCCTGGTGGGGCCAAGCTGTCTTACATTCATGAAAAATTTTGTTTATTTATCAAATATTTTTTGCTTCTAGTGGTAATTGGTTTGGAAGAGGTTAAAGGCATAAAACTTTGGGGAAGCCGACTCCCTATTCCTACCCACTGAATAAGTTTATGGATAAAGTACATTGCTAAACAAAATGAACTAATGCAATAACTTACATAGCATTTGTTATCAAATTATACAGTGATGCTGTTGCTAATGTACACCCCTATCACTGAAAGGAAGAAGCCACAGTTTTGTATGATCATAGTTTGCTGTTAAGTTTGATAAAGCCCTCGCTCTCACCAGTACATATTACTGGAACTACAGTGGGAAATAAACTAAAGACATCAAAAGCAACTGGAGCTCTTACACCACCATGCTTGGAATGAACAACAGAGACATGCCAAAAAGAAACAAAGGAAAACAGATAAGCAGTTTTTAATGCTCAACTAATTAGTTTAGATTGGATAAGTGTTAATATTAAAACTCTCTCTCTCTCAAAAAAAGGATTTCTAGCAAATAGAAAAACATACTTATCTATACTTTCTTTTAACTGCAGTAAATTCCATGCTACAATACTGACCGAGAGCCTTGCTGAACTAAGCTTATATAGGACAAGTGGGATGGTGAAAACAACGAGCCTGAAGATCAGCATAGGACAGTGTTTAGATCCTGGTGATTTTTAGGTTATGTTAGTGTACTATCAAAAGGGATCTGGATTTTCTGTTCAGAAGGGAAAAATGCAGAAAACCCTGAATTTTCTCATTTTCATAGATTTCATAGACATCAGGGCTGGAAGGGACCTCGGAAGATCATTGAGTCCAGCCCCCTGCCCGAGGGCCAGGAAGTCAGCTGAGGTCATAGGATTCCAGCAAGATAAGCATCCAAATTTCTCTTGAAGGTGTTCAATGTAGGCGCTTGAACCACCTCCGATGGCAGTCTATTCCAGACCTTGGGGGCTCGGACAGTAAAGAAATTCTTATATCCAGCCTGAAACGGTCTTGCTGGAGTTTATAACCGTTTGACCTTGTCATGCTTTGGGGTGCTCTGGTGAACAATCGTTCCCCCAGATCATGGTGAACACTCCTGATAAACTTACAGGTGGCCATCAGATCACCCCTGAGCCTGCGCTTTTCCAGGCTAAAGAGCCCCATAGCTCTCAGCCTGTCGTCATAAGGTCTGTTTTCCTGACCTCTGATCATGCGCGTGGCTCTTCTCTGGACTCTCTCAAGCTTCTCCACATCCTTTTTGAATTGTGGAGCACAAAACTGGATGCAATACTCCAGCTGCGGCCTCACCAAGGTCAAGTACAATGGGAGAATGACGTCCCGAGTACAACGGGAGAATGACATCTGTCAAAAGCATCTATGGATGCAAGCCAGCGTTTTGCTCACTTTACTAGCCGCAGCATCACATTGCAGGATCCT